TTAGACTTCTTACATAGTTTGGTGGATAATTATGTTAGATGATAGGATTTGTTGTGCCTGGCCTATTTTTGTGTTTTTTGTGTGTGTTTTCTGTGCCTATGAATAAGTGTGAGTACATGCTTTGCACATTTCATGGTTTACAGCTGACATTTCACTATGTGTTGATTTAATCAAGGGTGAAATAAAGACAAGCTCATTCTCCCAAGGTCTCTATACAAAGGTCCATCACACAGCATTCAAACCTGAAAATCTGTCACAAGGATCATACTGTTTTCAGAATGAAAGATTCATGTTTAAATTGTGTGTGAGTGTGTATGCACATATTTGTGTATTTCTGTGTGTTTCTTACATTTCACAAAAAAGTCCTCTGACACATTTTCATTATCTGAACCAAAACTAGATTTTTTCACTCCTGATTAAATAATTATTTATGACTTTATGGTCATTCCCTGCACACATGCTTATATTTTTTATAAAGCACAGTTTCTTCATCATGAGAAAAAAATACTGTTAAAACTTAAAATTTCCTTTACTTCCCAGTGGCCTTACAAAGGAGTCAAATGACAGAAAAAACATTTGTAACACAAAAAAATGGGTCTGGATGATGTATGTGACACAGGGAACCAGCTCTAAGAAACAGCAACAAGACCTGGGTCATCTCAACCTTCTCTTACTCCCAGACTACATCAGCCTTGGGGAAGCCACACTTACTCTCGCAGTTTCTCAGGTGCTTCTCTTCTCCTTCTTTATCTTTATTGCCACTGCCCCTGTACTACAAGCTAGAAACTCATTCTTTTCCATTATTAGAAGGCAAATCCTGGTTCCCTATTCACCAAGAATGTGCTAACTCATACCTTTTTTATATTTTGACTTTTTTCCAGGCTGCTGTAAGAATTTCTCCTCCAGGTGTTTCTTCTTCTTTTTGTGCTTCATAGTTCAATTCTTCAGAGGACTACTAATATCAAGTAAGATTCTGAGACTGCTCTCAGAGAATTGTTAATGATGTTAAGGAATGAAATTTATACATCCACAAACAACAAATCACCTAAGACGCTATCTATTACCAGATCACTGTCCTCTGTAATGCTCAGTATCGTACCATGGTTGGTGGGGTACCAGTTATTACTGAGGTCTCAGCAGTGTTCTGTGACCTATTGATGACATCAGAGAGTTCCAGGGCCCAGCTAGTACCAGAGAGGATTAGAACTTCTGCTTGTCTCATGAAAATCAGTAAATGTTACATTGTAGTATTGCAACTCAAGTTAGCTGGATACTCATATCAGATGCATATTATAACACTAGTGTAGATTTGAGAGTACCTCATGAATCCAAACTATTCTCAGGCTCCCACAGCCCCCCGCGCCTTGCGCCCAGGCAGC